GACAGACCGGTGTCGAGTTTTTGGGTGCTTCGTTTTCGAGTTTTCGGTGCGTCGTTTTCGAGATTTGGGTGCTTCGTTTTCGAGTTTTGGGTGCTTCGTTTTCGAGTTTTGGGTGCTTCGTTTTCGATCTAGGGTGCTTCGTTTTCGATCTAGGGTGCTTCGTTTTCGAGATTTGGGTGCTTCGTGCTTCGGTCTTTGTTTTCGAGTGCTTCGTTTTCGAAACTACCTTCTTCTGTGGTTAAATACCAATGACATCCTAGCTAAGCAATCCTTGATCTTTTTCTAAAGTCAAAATCGAAGATAAACCTTTCTTTTAGTCAAATAACTGAGTGAAGTCTTGCGAAACAACATGTAGGGAAGTGCGAAACAACATGTAGGGAAATGCTCGAAGGATCACCACATACATGGTTTAGAATCCAAGATGGCGGCTTCCGAAGGTTCAACAGAAGCATGCAGACATGGCAGGAAATGTTCGAAGGTGGCTGGGCATAAGGGCCGAAGCAACTCAGAAAAGCCCCTCCATTCGTTTTGGGAGTCATCCTCAGTATTTAAATTGAACATCCGTAAACGGAAACTGATCGAAGAGGAGAAGCAATTTGATGAACAGCACGAGGCAAAGCTATTGTTACTCAATGACCAAGAAGAAGCACTCAACACAACGGAACTGGCGATTCAAACTGAATTAAACGAGAAAGGTAAAAGTTACCAATAGATTCATTCAATACAATGTCATGTCATTTTATGACAAGACAACAGAAGGCTATATTTTCAACTCTTGCATACCCATCTACAATAAACATATTAAAAAAAAATGGTGGTAACAAAGCATGAGGGAAAAATTCCATGTAGATGTCTGTATAGAGTTTGTATCTTGGAAATAGAATGAGCCAATCGAGACAGTGTTATTTAACCATTTTGCTGAACTTTCTTGTAAGCTTAATTATTTATCTCAATTAATTTCAGTATCCATATTTCTGTATCTATATAAAAAGGTAAGCATGGTTCGTACAATCTTCAAAAGGTCTTGAATTTTAGCAGTCATCTTGAAAAGTCCTTGAATCAGCTTAGGTCCTTGAAAAGTACTTGATTTCTCAATTTCGTCTTGAAATGTCCTTGAAAGTTACTAAATTGTTTTACACCACATCAGTTTCTGAAAAATTAAATGTTTTTTTCTGTGGAATTTTTCCATCTGCTGCATCTAATTAGAAAGATAACATTGAACAAAACAAATTGTCTGTATAAAACACTGACGAAGCAGGACAAGACGTGATCAACCGTGGCTGGAGTAAGAATCGTAAATCACAGCATTAGTTAAGAGTTTTAGCCGATAAATTGTAAAAAGGGAGACAAAGAAAGTCCTTGAAAGCTCTAATTTGTACTTGAAAAGTCCTTAAAAAGTCCTTGCATTTTGTTTGTCTGAAGTTGTACGAACCATGGTAAGCTTTTACTTTTAATTAAAATTATCTGTGCACTTTTATTCACAGAGAATGAGTAATGTGGTCTACGCAAAGGCTTTCAAGAAACAAATGCACTGGTTGAATCAACAAAGAAGGAGTTGTCTGTTGTTTCCCAGCAGAATCAACATCTTAAATCCATGATTTCATCTCTTGGTTTGGATTGTAAGCAATTTTCCAAGTCAAAACGAGAGCAAAATAGCACATCACCAGATACTAAATCTACCACAAGGCACCGCAGACGAAAAGAGACAGAGCAAGCCCTAAAGTTTATCCATGGTGGGGAGTCAGGTTCATATCATGGAGCATGGGACTACATTGTAGCAAATGCTCCCAAAGAACTGGTTGGTGAATTCATTACGGGTTATAAAAGGGGGAAGTACATGCAAGAACTGTATGAAAAGGCAGTGAAAGAGCACCAAGCATCCCCTGAAGGATTGAAGCAAGCAATATCAACTAAATATCAAAACTTTCTCTCCCCAAGGAAATTCATGCTGGTATGTAAAACTCAGACCTCATACTTTAATGCTGAGTCAGAAGTATGGGTTCCAAGAAATGTTAAGTGTATGGGGATAGATCTAAGGATTCCACGACCTACATCCAATGCTGCTGTAGACAAGTTTGTTAAGCAGTTAAACATTGGTACCGCCAATCAAATCCCAAATGCTCCTGGAGTGACAAGAACTGTCACTGGACGTGTGTTTATGATCATAGATTTACATCTGCGAGTACCACATCTGACAAAGAAGCTTGTTTGGTTTAACGACCTGGAGAATTATTTCATATTCCAGTTTTCTGATGATGGTGCCCCAGAAACTAGCCAGTTGACAATGTCAATAGGGAGTTTGACAATGTGGAACTTGGGCGACAGAGTTCGAAGTTCTGACTTCCAATACCTCCTGCACTGTGTAAGCTTAGGAGAGAAAGATGAGGTATTGGAAAATCTGTGGAAGCAGCACACAGATGAGATGGCTCTGCTAGAGGGGAACATTATCATTGTGTGTGAAAAGCAGTGCACAGTCGACTTCCAGCCCAGTGCTGACATGTGTTGGCAGAGTTGGGCAAATAATGAACTTAACCAGGCTGCCACTTACCCATCTCCATATGCAAATGTACACAAGGGATCACTCTGTACCATGGGGGGATCAATTGGATGCTCGCCATCTGATACTTGGAAACCGTACAGCAATGCAGATCGATCAGAGCATGCAAAGATGGTTGCCAAATTTATGGCAACCATCGCAAGCACTATTCCAGAAAAGACAAGGCATGAAAAGAAGCTGGGATACATGGCAGAAAATGGCATCAGACAGCTTGGGCCTCCTCGCATTGGACAGTTTCCTGACAGACAAAGACTTGAACCACTCCATTGTGAGATAAATGCATGGCAGCAAATATTGTCTATCATTTATTTGCAATTTGTCCAGCGGGGTATGTTTGATGTATTTGTGACAGTGTTAAGTAATCCCACAAAAAAGCCTGCAGATGCAACTCCTACGGGTGATTCAACCACTGGACAGCCATTGTTGGGTTGTGGATTATCTTATGTAGTACCTTTGATCAAGGAACATTATGCAGATGAAAAAAAGAAACACAACAAACTCCCAACAAGGCTTATTGGAGTACAAGCTATCGCACTGGCAAGATATGCCTACCGGTTGATTGATAGTTTGCAGTCCACAGATGAGTCACCATCACAGTGTGTTATACGTTTGGCACTTGGTAGAATAGTGCTATATCTACGACAGGCATGCTTCATTTTCAACAAGGTGTCAACAACACCAGCAGATTTAGATGAACTTGATGAGAATTGCAAGCTGTATTTTAATTTGTTGTGCCTGTTTTTTCCAAGTCATGTTAACGTCACTACTAGGACAGTTGCTTATGCAATTCCATACCATGCCTTCAAGCTCTATGAGACCTATAAGGTTGGGTATGGAATAATTTCCCAGCAAGCAAAGGAAGCTAAACATTCAGGCGTCAAAAATGACCTAGCATTAAGCAACAGATGCACGAGTCAGGATACCTCTGGCAAATGGTGGCAAGTTATGCGAGCTCACTATGTGCGAAGTTTTTACCTCCCTGAACATCAACCAATGCCGAACACCTACAAGTCACACTTTCAATCTCGTGTACCACCCCATTGTAAATCAGATGAAATTTGTAACTGTGGGAGGGATAAAGATGAAGGCTTGGACTACTGTGAAACTTGCCTTGAGTGTAGTGAAATTGTAAAGTCTGCACAAAGTGAAAAGCTTTCAGAAGACTTGAGTAAACTGCTTAAACCCCTGTCATGCACACTCTGTGATGAGCGTTTTGCAGATGAAAGCATATTGGAAGCACATATTTCAACTCACAACCAAGTCACTGTTTGCAGCAACAAGAATCCCAAAGCCATGACTGTGGCAGAACTAAAAACTGAACTGAGGAAACTGAATGTCAGTTCAGTTGGAACAAAAGACATTTTGATCAAGAGACTTGAGATGAAAATTGCTGGAGGTTGCTAACTATTATCAGTGCAATGTGGTGCTTGTCAAAAATCATTTTAGCTTAAGTAAGTTTGCTTCAGCCCAGTTGACACAGGTTTGAGTTCAGTAGATACACAGAAAAAGAAAATTAAAAATGAATGGTTTTTCTAATTTACTATTTCCATTGATTCAATTGTGAAAATATCAAAAAATCATGTTTTGGGAAATGTTTATCTGTGGTAAAGGCTGATGTGTGTTCCAGTGCCTACTGGTTACTAATTTCCATGTTCTTCTAGATTAATTTTTTTTGTGCATGATGCAAGTAATATATTTTAGTGATCAGGGAATTAATTAAGTATGTAAACATTCTTTTCAATGTTTACTTAAAATAAGATGTATATGTTGTAGGTCAAAATGAAATTCAGGTCAAAATGATTTTAACCTTGCCCAAACAAAATGAAATTCCTTATCTTCTAACCCTAGTTATTCATGAGTCATGAATAATTAGGGTCAGATGACAAAGGAATTTCATTTTAACCTAGGTTAAAATCATTTTGATCTGAATTTCATTTTGACCTACAATATAATTATACACTTGTCCACTGTAATGCTGTCATGGTGTAGACTTTGTTGACTGTACACAATCTGCTTTGGTATTTTCAAATCCAGTAGTTTATAATAATTTTATAAAAGAGCTAAGATAGTACACATGTTCTGATTGGTTAAAAACCTATTGTTTATTGTGCCAGTAAAGTCATGGAAAAGTTAAAGTTACCGGTACTTATTAAAAGCAGTAGACCACACTTTCTATGAGTTTACTGGTGTGATAACCTACTTGGGATGTTGGGAGAACACTTGAAAAGCTTGGAAATCACTCGCCTTTGGCTTGTGATTCACAAGCTTTTCTTGTATAAGCGAATTAATGGGTATTTGCCGAATCATCTAAATGAACACTTAATTTTGAATAATGATCGGCAATCCCGCAACACTAGATATTCAAGCATTAATGCTGTTTGTCCTAAATATATGAGAGAAACAAAGGGTGGACGCTCTTTTGCTGTTTCAGCAACAAGACTGTGGAATAGTATACCAATTGAGATTAGGAGACTAGATTCTGTAGCATGTTTTAAAAAGAACATGTTTGCCAAGATTTTTAACGAACAACAATGTTTGCATCATTTTATCATTTGATCGAATCTTGTATTATTTTAAATGTTTAAATGTTGACATATTTTAGCTTACAATATTTGTTAGATTGTAAATAGTTGTGTTTTTTATGAGGGCCACAAGTTTATTAGCCTTTGGCTATTAAGTGCTACCCTCTTTAAATAAAGGTTTTACTTACTTACTTACTTACTTGTGTTCTCTCAACACCCCGCATGGGTTATCATGCCCGTAAACCCATACCGTGTAGAAAGTGTGGTCTTTTGCTTAAATAAACTATCCATAATTATTATGGATCAATAACTTTAGTGCTTAACCTTAGCGGTAGTCCACTAGTCCTGGACTAGTACAAAATGTTTCTGGACTAGCAGAAACTTAGAGCCACAAGTCAAATAACTTGTAACAATTTTGTAATGTATAATGTTTAAGAACCTAATTAAGAAAAGATGAAAACCAAAATAAGAACTTTATGTCTTGTAAATGTTGCTTTCATGCGTTCTTTGCACTGTTCCGAAAACAGAAAACAACAATCGTGAAAAATGAGACCTAGGCGAGGACTACCACAGATTTACTCAGGACTACTAAATGTTCAGCTCAACTAGTCCCAGGACCAGTGAATTAAAAAAATAAAGTCGAGCACTGAACTGTAACAAATTGATTTCTGATTAGTTTGAAGTTACTAATTTTCACTTGTCTGTTTCTAAAAGAGCTCAAATAGCACTCACCCTACAGGCTTACACAATTTTGAAACTTAACAATATTAATGGCGAACAATTCAAAAAAACAAGACAGTCATTTTCTCCTTATTGTAATAAAACAACTACACTGTAGAGACTTGAAAACCGAAGCAATATTTGTCTTTAAAAATTTCTGAAAGCCTGGAATATCTAATCGAACATCAAGAAATCCAAAACTAGCAATTTCTGTTTGTTCAATATTCAAACCCACAAAAAATTCCATGTTTGATTTTTGCTGTGTAATCAAATTCAATCAAATTGAATTGAGTTTGACTGTGTCTGATTGCTTTGGATTGAAATTTTGTTCGATTAGATACCCTGGGCTGTGGGCTGAAAATACGCCACCGACCATCATTTTTCTAATGGTCCATCCCTTAGATGTATGTTTACTTCAAAATATTGGCATCAGTGAAACAGAACTGATACTGCTGCTATCCATGCTATTTTGTGAAAGTCGTGTAGCTTCAGCTAAATGATAAAACCATGCCTGAAGTCATGTTTATTGTAGCAAATATATGTCATATAGGTCTTCATGGAAAATTGAAGAAAACAATTTAGCTAACATTTCAACCATTCATTAGTGCTTGAAGGCTTGAGTCCATTACAAAGTGTTCAGCTGTGTATCTCTGGATATAAAATGTCACTGTGACACGCTGCGTCTTCATATCATAGGTCATGCAGAATGGAGTTGACTCTGTGACAACAATTGTAGACCTTCCATTGTAAATAGACTCAGTCTTACCACCAGCCTTGGATGGAACTCTTACATACATACATACATACTTTATTGGCTCGTCCCCACGGGGCTTTTCAGAGTCAATTTTACATTACAAAATTATAAACCAAGTACATGACAATAAGAATATAACAATGATAAAAGAAGACAAAGGTCAATAAAATTAATTAAATTAATTAAATAAAGCAGTCATTAAGAAGCTTTTGCCTGAGTAAACACTTGAATTCCGTCACGGATGGGCTAAGTTTGAGCGCAGGCTGCAACTCATTCCAGAGAGAGGTTGCTCTATATTGAAAGGTCCTTTACGCTGGCAGTGCGGAAGAGTGGTATGTTCAAAAGTTGAGAATTTCTTGTATTCCTTGTCGAGACAGCGGATCTTCCAACGAGCTTTGATGTCAAATACTCCGAGCACAACTCGTCATGCACTTAAAAACCAGAACAGCAAAACGAAAATAAAGTTGTTGCCTGATTGGTAGCCAGCGCAAGTCTTTTAGCAAAGGAGTTATGTGATCGAATTTTTTAGCGCCGCTCAAAAATACGACAAAGCGAAATTCTGTACTGCTTGGAGCTTGTCCAGATTAGTTTGAGTAGTATTGCTCCAAACAGAAGAGCAATAGAATAATTTACTAAATACTAAGGCATTTATAATAATAATTAGCGCGTTTATTAAAAATATGCTTAACGCGGTTAACTTGGCCCAAACGTGACATGCATGAGGATACAGTAGAAACAATATGCTCATTATATGTTAAGTTAGAGTCCAGTGTGACACCAAGGTCTCTTGCAGCCTTAACGGGCTCGAGTTCCTTCCCCAATAGAAATAGCCTAAAGTCGCTAACCTTAGCAGTCATTTGCCGGCTGCCGAATATCACTAGTTTTGTTTTATCTGGGTTGAGTAAAAGCTGATTATCAAAGCACCAATTCCTAATGCTTAACAAGTCCTTGTTCATTTTTTCTATCGTTTCGTGCTGATCGCGGAGTTGAAATGACATGAGAAGTTTGGTATCGTCGACGTAACACTGCGATGTACAATTTTCTGGCACAGAAGGGAGATCATTAACGTAGATGTTAAAGAGTAATGGGCCAAGGATGCTCCCTTGTGGAACGCCAGAACTAACAGGTAGTTTGGTCAACAGAGTTGTATTTATTCACACAAATTGGTATCGCGAGGTTAAATAGCTTCCGAGCCCTTTTATCGCAGGTCTGGACGCACCAATGTCTTGTAACTCTTTTGAAGTGCCTTTGAGCAAAGAAAGTTTCCCCTGAGAAACGAGATGGCGAAAACAACTTCCTAAGAGAATCCATTTTGGTTAATGTCAGGACATGTTTTGATCCCTTGCCTTGAGAGTGCACATCTCCCGAATATCCTCGAACCAGAACCAGTACGTGTCGAAACACTGACCAAGGGATAAACAAACTAACCGGATTCACCAACCCAGTTGCTTTAGACATGGACAGCTTGCATTTCATTGACCGCCCAATTTCGTGTAGGTATGAGTCGATCATCGGGCCAACCAATTCGAGCTTGTTTCCAACAACTTCTTCCAGTTGCGAGTCCATATTTAACATGCCATAATTTGGTTTCCTTTTGGCTTTGCGTACGGCTTTTATCCACTGTCTTTCGACCGAGAACTTCATTTCCACTGACGAAGTATTCCAGAATAAATGGCCACGTTCTGAATCGCCAGAAGACTGTAAATTTAAGACCAGATCACAACTTTCGTTCGCCATTCTTTCCGCCATTTTACCTTGTGAACATACCCATTGCCGCTGAATTAAATGAGCCCGCCTTACATTTATTAGTGAGCTCCGCTGACACTTGTGTGCCCGCACGAGTGGAAGATTTTTCGCCCTGAAATACCAGCGTGTTCTGGCAACATAGATGACATGTCCGCCATTGTTGGCTTGTAAGCAGGCACTGCTGGGAAGATGGCCACTTGTGGAATTGTCTGCCATGTATTACTTGGGATTCTTTCTTAAAACGCACAGCTTTACCGTAGGCGAAACCTAATTTCGGAAAAATAGGGGCGTCGGCTTGGTAGTCATCAGAGGAACAACTTTGAAGACTGTCATCTTCAAGATTATTTTCCTTCTTGCTCACCAACTCGCTTGCCATTACTGCTTTCGTTCGCACGACAGGAGTGGAGAAAGAGGGCAAATCTATGTGTTGGAGCACGTAAATACTGTCGTCATCTGTCAAGTGTTTTGATTGGTCACTGTTTCCCGCCTTTTTCGCTCTATCATTCTAACGTTTCATATTGGTCCAAGATGAAAAATCGCAGAGCTCTGGGAACCAGAAGGTTGTTGCAAAAAAATGGCGGCCAAGCGAAAATGTTGGTAGAAAGATGAATTCTGAGGCTGTTCACACCTGGACTAGAGAAACAACGTACAGACATGTACACTGCAGATGCTTGCGTTGTAAGGGAAAGGCAACGACAAGAAGCATAGAATTGCGACATTGGTCAGAGGCTCGACTATTAGATGCAGGTGCTTCGGGCACTGTTGAGTTTAATTTCCACTCAGGTGGAGGATCGGACACAAATGGTCTGGAAGAAGGAATGCACATCGACAAAGAAAGGACTTACTTGCTGGAGGTACTGGAAATGGATAAAACTACTGATGTTGAGAGTGATTTAGTTGAAAAAGACGCATCGAACAACTGCAATACTGAGAATGTAAACCCTTTGAAGAAACTTGTTGTCAAGGCTGTACTTGAGGCACTGAGCATTATGGACAATTCCGGAGCCTCGATTAAGACATTTGAAGATATCCTTGCATATGGGAGACCAAAGCTTTTGGAATCAATTTCAAGTGACATTGACGTTGATATTCTCTTGGTATTGCGGCCAAAAGACTGGAAAGCTGTCCAACTACTTCTTGAGAAACAAGGTTATTCAGATGCCAAAGAATTTTACATTTGTATCTGTAGAGAAGAGAAAGAGGTACGGAGATGCGGAATGACAAGTGTTAAGTATAACTACAGTCGCAGTTGGAGTTTCATGAGCAGCAAAGATGAACTATGCCCTCATTGTGGCAACGGGTTACACAGCAAGGTTAAAAACTGGTTCAAGACAAAAAGTAGTGCAGAAAAATGCTGAGTCATTGGAAGGAGAAAGAACACTGGCTTGGAAGGTCTTCAAGCTGGCCCCTCAAAAAGGAGTTCTGGGATGGCCAAAGATGGGTAGACCTGCAGAGGTTTTTTGACCCTAACCAGACGTGGCTTCTTCCTGAAAGATGTGGCAATTGTAAAGCTGTGATTTCAGCGGAAAGTATTGCCAGTTGTGAAAAGGCTGAAAGTGGATTGTCTTGCGTAAAGTTCCCAGAATGTATGGAGACAGTCCCTTGTGAAGTGAAAATTGCAAATGGTTCTCCCCTAAATGTAGCCCTAGTGGGTCACTGGGACGCTTGGCAGCCTTTCAAAACAGGACTAAAGGGCTGTGGCTCGATTGAAATTTCAATTGCTAATATGTGTAAAGAAGATCGCACGCATGTTGAGGAAGTCTATGTCGTGGGATTTGTGCCATGCACGTCTGTTCCCAATAATGTGCCTGAAGCTTATGATCCATTTCTGGAACCACTTATGCATGACCTCTGTAAAGGTTTCATTGATGGGTTTGAAGTAACATATCCCCCTGGGTTACCGTAGCTGACTATGAACCACGTGAAGTGGAAACTGTGAGAGTTTTGTTGCTTTGTTGGACAGCAGACCATCCAGGTCAATGTGAGTTTGGAAAAATTTAAATCAAGGCAAATGTGGCTGTAGGAGATGCAAGGTTAATGGGCAGCAAAGTGAATACTGTAATCGCTATTACCATAGAAACAATCTTTATCACTGCCGTTATCCATGGCCAAGGAGAAACATTCAACATGAACTTGATAATCTATATCATATTGACCATGAAACCCGAAAAAGTGTGAGGAAAACTCTGTCCTCTGAGATAGGTTTCACTGGAACAAGTGTTTTTCATAGATACCTGTATCCACTTTGCGGATTTGACATTTTGCAACATGTGGTGATTGATGTTTTTCACACAGTTTTATTGAATCTATGCAAAAACCAGACACAGAGGATGTTAGAAATTGAACTGATTGACATAACTTACCTTGATGAAAAACTGAAGAGTTTTCCATGGACAAATGAGCTTAAAAATGGAAGAATTCCAGTTGCTGTCGAAAAGGAAGGTAAAGGTTTAAACTACTGGAAAGCCGAGGGCTTTCAGAAATTTTTCTTTCCAATGCTGGAATACATTGTAGAAGGAAAGATGGAAAACTTGACAGAACTTGAAATTGTTTGCTCTGTGTCAAGGTTTGTTGAACTACACTTCACAAGTGGGCGACATGGATGGAGTGATGAAATGATCGAGATGCACAGAAAGCTGGCCCAAAGAATCAATGTAAAAATTGAGGAAACACAAGGACTTGACATGTGTACAGTGTCAGTGCACAACATGCTGCACGTCCATGAAGATATAATTAACTTTTCCGCAACAGCTAACTATCCGTGCGCTGTTTTCGAAAGGGCTGCTAAATACTACATCAAAAGGTCCAACAATTGTAAGGGTGTAGAAGCAAGGTTTGCTAAAGCTAAAGCTCGTGGAGAGTTTCTGAAAAGTTTGGAAGAAGAAGATGATAGTCAACTACAAGAAAGTAATACAAGTCAGGTGAGGTGACTTAATGTACAGCAATAAAATTCAGTGAGTGTGATCACAAAGTTTGAGCTAATATAATTAATAATACTTTTAATCAATCAAAATAAGAATAATGATTGTAGTAATAATTTGCTTAGACGTGCTGAATCCATTAATAATCCAGACAGAGCACTTTGCTAATTGATTGTAAGAAACATGTACTAGGTACCTTTTTATGGGTGAAAGTGATGACCAGCAAAAATATATATTCATTTCATGTGGTTTTGCCAATCAGCTAGTTTTGCGAGGCAAGTGAATTAAGCCCCCAAGGAACTGAGGAGAGGGAGTTACTCTTGAAGCATTAGATCAGAACAGGGGCATAGCTACCTAACAGTAACACACATGCACCTGGACATATCGAAGATAACATAGAAAATACAACAAACTTGTCAGCTTAATTAATGATAATTATGTGGCCAAAACACCTCATTAAACAACAAAGATTATTATTACCTACAAGTAGTTGTCATTTTATAGCAAGTAAGAACTTTATTTGCTTGCAGCCTAACCTCGCCATATAGTTAGACTTAATAACCGCAGCTGAAAAATATTTGGGGCTTGTAGGGAGAAGGAGGGAAGATCTGAAAAATCCAGGCTACACTACATGCGTATAGAATGTACAACTATATCAAAATTGCAACTGAAGATTTTCTGCTTAGATTGCCAGTACTGTGACTATTTCTAATTTTAAGGTTTTATTGTTTTTCATAAGGGGACCTTTAGGTGTCGAAATTAATTTGAATCTCTTCTACTGCTAGGGTGTCGTGTGCTCTGTGGAGATGGCTAGAGCACTATGCCGCAAGGATGGACAGCATTCCCTGTTACTTGGGTCATCAAAGAGAGTTTTTCAGTTGATCAGAGACAATCACATGAAGATTGCAGCTGCTCTCTCACTTTCTCCAACTGAAATATCAGCTGTTCCCACAACAACAAAGAAATGTTTTTTGATCAATGTCGGCCATGAGGGTGTGGTGCTATCAAGCAAGGATAGTATCATTGTCACTTTTGAAGGCAGTGGAGAAGTGGTATCTGTTCACCATTTTTTGTCTATTAGACATGAGGGAGGAAATTGTCTGTTGCTTGGGGAGGGCAGTGTAAAGCCATTTTTGAGAGATGGCAATGGCCTCATTGCAGTGGACTTTTGGAATGGTTTCCCCAAAGTAGGACAGTCTTCTTTTCCACTGAAAATATTTCAAGAAAAGTTATGCTGTATGATTGTGGGAACAATACAGCCACTGTTGTTGATTACTTGAGAAAACTGAGGAGCCTTCCTTACGAACTTATTGTTCCAGTTTACCCAGAGAAAGATGACATGTTGCTCATTCAAGGAGAGCTTTCTGTGGATATCTGGTATGGCAAAGCTCTGAAATATTGATTGGGAAAGACTTGTGGTTGACATAGTCTTCTTTGTAGAGAAGCATCACCATCCTGGAAGATATAAACGAGAGACACTTGGAGGAACAGCTGTTAACAAAGTGTCTTTGGATTCAGTAACTGGAGTTGCACAGGGCCAGTGGATCGGTACAAACTGTTGGCAGAAAAATATCTGATCATGTCTCAAAATGCCTGAAAACAATTGTTAGAAATGCAGACACTACACTGAGTGTGTATTTAGAAGATCTGAGAGTAAAGTTCTGACTCTACAGGTATGACAGCTACAATCCCAGACAAAAGTTAAGTTGGGAAGGTTGTGAAACTTAACAGTAGTCCATTTTCACTTGTAAAAAAGAGAGTTTTCTCTTTTGCTAAATATCCCCAATCCCCCCATTCAATGTTGGGATATAACAGAATAATTATTACATGCACAAACATTAACTTTTTGCTCAACATGGGGCATGGAGCGGGGGGAGTGGGGAGGAAAGAAAAAAAGAGGTTAAAAGTAGCAGCCTTCCCAACAGTTTTGATGATGATTGTAGTATGTGTACTGATGTAATATCTGTATCCAAACATTTCACTCCAAAAATCTTGATAGCTAATTGTAGATATGTTCAATCTCAAGATATCGGAAATCCAAATGACTGCCTCTTATTTCTTTTGCTTGGGAATGTTAGAGTTCATTGAAGCAGTCCCATATATTTAGTTGTGGCTGGTTATTACAATTTTGCCTAAGAGCTATTAACCTAAAATTTCGTTAATTAAGATAGCTAGAAATGTGGTTTGTCTTGGGTTTGGGTCATGGCATCAATGTTTAGTGGCAGTGTGTTGTTCATAAATTTCCAACTGAGACAATTTTTTAAAGGAATGAAACAATATCAGGTAGAGAATCATTAAAATATCTGCTGTGTTGTCAAGTTTCACCAAATACTGTAAATTAAAGTGAGTCACTAGAATTGTTGGTCACACAAACCTGAGTTTTAGAGTTCAAAGAGGAAATGTACATGTTTTCTTTCCTTTGACTACATACAGTAAATAAATTATTAGCTAAATTCACCTGTGAATGTCTCAAATCAACTATTTGTCCCAGCTCAATTTTTAACTTTGAGAATTACATGGGAGTATATCAGTAAATATCTTCATTTTTTCCCAACTCTGGGAATAACATGAGGGAGTATTTCCATGGTATTCACAAGTTTACGACATCTAGGAAATATATCACAAACTTGGGGAAGTATTCCCATGAAAAAGATTTCAATTCCAGAGTGATATGGGAGTGTTATCTCTATTTCATTCCCAACTTTGAGAATACCGTGGCAATACATATCCCAATAATTATTCATTCCCAGCTTTGAGAATTACAATGTAATGTATCCCCCTTTTATTCCCAACTATGAGAATAATATGATAGTATATCCCATTTTATTCTCAAGTATGAGAAAGGCATGATAATATATATCCACTTTTATCCCCAACTTTGAGAATAACATGCAGGTAAAATATCCCCATTTTCTTCCCAACTATGTGACGAGCATGGCGCTATAACACCAGGTAATTCCCAGTTATGACAAAAGCATGGTAATATATCCCCATTTAATTCCCAATTATGTAAAAAGCATGACACTATAACACCAGTTAATTCCCAATTATGACAAAAGCATGGTAAAATATCCCCATTTCACTCCCAAGTATGTGAACAAAATGGTACTATAACACCAGTTAATTCCCAATTATTACAAAAGCCTGGTAATATATCCCCATTTTATTCCCAATTTGGAGAATTATATGGTAATGTATCCCTATTTTACTCCGAATATGGAGACAACAAGGGTGAGTATTCCCATATTATTCACAATATTGTGAACAACATGAGAATATAATCCCCAGGATATTTCCAAGATTGGGAATAACATGGGAAAGCATTCACAAGATTTTCCCAGTCCTGGGATAAATAGTAAAGTGGAACCTTTTTCCCAGAACAAACCCATTTGTGTAATCATGAGAGGCATCAACCTCCCAATATTTTCCCATACAAGGAATTTCCTGTCCCAGTTTTTTCACAGTCGTGGGAAAAAGTCCCATAAAATTCCCAAATGGGAATCTAAAAAAGTTTCCTGTGGTGTGTGACTCGGGAGATCACTCTACAAGAACATTATAATGAGCATCAAGAATACTTTGAGTATGTTAGACAAGGTCTGGGTTTGGCACTTCCTACAACCGGGAAGGAAGCTCTTCAGTTCTATGAAAGATTGATAGACATTGCTGAGAATGGATATTCTACTTAATGTGACTATTTATCACATAAGATGTGGTATAGCTACAATGTAAGCTTTATACCTGTTGAAAATGTGTTAATGTTTAAATCAGACACGTGTTTTCACTCTAACGTCTCTTGGTCAGATTGGAAATGTAAAGTAGTGTTTTCAACCTGAGGATGAAATTTGATTGAACTGATTGTTTGACACTAGTTTAACATGGATGATTTCCTTCATTCTTTCGTAGGTACCGTCATTGTTACTCTCTCTTCGAAGGATAAGCCAGGATTTCCAAAAGAAGGCTCAGATTTAGTTTTCATGTGAAAACGAAAAAAATAGACTTCTAACATTCCCTTTGTTCTTTTGCTGCCAACGAGGAAACACAACAAAAGGGATGCCATAGTAAGGAAACAAAAAGTGAAAAAAAGGAAATCTCTAAGTGGCTAAGCTGAATCAATTTTTCAGATTTTTGGTCCACGCTATTCTAGGCTAAGTAATCTATGCATCAAGAAATTAAAATTCTGACTGAAAGATATTACCTGAAATTGCAAAGAGAAAACTTTACTGCTACAATGAATCCACACAGACAGGTCATCATTAATGCTTGTTCATTCATGGTCAACATACACAATCCAAGTAATAAAGCTGATTTATTTGACTGTAAAAATACTTTGTCCTAAATAAGAAAGAACAAATATGACAAGAAATGTCTTCTAGCTCTGTTAACTAGGAAAATATTGAAAATCCTGAGATCTAACAAACAACCTGTCAAATTTCTATCAAATCTTCAAGATAAATGGCTATCCATACAACCAGAAATTCAACAAAGGCGAAATCAAACTTATTGCTTATGTCCATACCGCGCAAGTCTGAGACAAGCTAGCAAAAGGTGTTACATTAGTTTTTCTTCCATAAAGGTTGCCTACTAATGGTTGTCAATAATCAGAGGACATTTACAGCTTTCTTTAATGCGTTGTAACTAGTCAGTTTTTTAAATGTTATCTTGTCAAACCTAGTTTCATTTACACAGGTTTTCTTTTCTAATCAGCCGTGAATGAACTGGTTTTATCAGAGGTAAAATCAAAGGAATGACATTGCTAGAGTAATATCAACAGATGCCACTGTAAAAAAAATCCAGGGCCTTTTAGATAACGATTACCTTACTTGACTCCCACATCTACCAAATACCGGTAATACATGTCAACAGGTAACTAGTTTTATAAGAACCCGGATTTTAAATGGCTTGCGGGAAACTCATGTTCCCTGGGACTCTGTTATATCAGACTGCAGTTTTGATGATTGTTTGGTGAGGTTCCAGGACATTTTCTTTTCCACTGTTGATCAATTTATACCTCAGGTAATGCTTCGTCGTCGATCAAGACCTCCTTGGATAAGCAATGAGATCATGAAATTCATAAGAAAAAAGAGAAAACTGTGGAGGCAAATGAAGGCTTGTGGATCAGTTGATTTATATTTGAAATTTAAGGAAGATGACAAAGAAACTTACTCACTCAAGCTTTCTACAGTACTTAAAAACTCTGTCTGTGAAGTTAAAGGAAGATCCTAAACAATTTTGGTCATTCCATTTAATCAAGTCGAAAAGAAGAAACATTCCTGAAACTGTCCGTTACAATGGTATGCCATCCACAGATCCTGCAAGAAAGGTGGAATTGTTCAATCAATTTTTTCGTACAGTGTATTCTGTTCCTTTCGTCGAGAGAAATTATTCCTTTATAGATGTTGTTAATCCAAACTTGTTGTTGTGCATTAATACTACGGCAGATGAAGTGAAGGAAATTTTACAAAATCTTGACATCACCAAGGCAACTGATGCAGATAATGTCCCTGCTCGTATTCTCAAAGCTTGTTCTGAGAATTATCTACACCTTTAGCCCCTTTGTTTAACAGATCCTTTAGTCTAGGGTGAGTCCCTGAGCAATGGAAGCTTGCTAACATTACACCGGTCTTAAAAGCAAATGAAAGAGACCTTGTGGAAAATAACAGATCTATTTCAGTTCTGTCTATTCAAGGAAAGTGTCAGGAGCGTATAGTTCATACTGCAATTTATTCCAATGTCTCTGCTCATCTATCTGATTGGCAGCATGGTTTTGTTAAAGGGAGATCTACTGGTACACAACTAATTTTGACTCATCATAATTGGGCGAAAACACTTGATGAGGGACGCCAAGTTGACGTAGACTTTTTAGATTTTTCTAAGGCTTTCGATCTTGTTCCCCATTATGTCTTGCTGCACAAGCTTTGCTGAACTGGTGTAAAGACTACCTTAATAACCGAACTCAGAGAGTAGTCATAGATGGTTATTCTTCCTCTTTGTCGGAAATTTCTTCCGGTGTACCACAAGGCTCTATCCTTGGGCCACTGTTTTTTGTAATCTTCATCAATGATTTACCACATGTAGTCTGTTCTGATAATACCGTTGCACTGTATGTAGACGATAGTAAGATGTTTAGAGTCATTGACTGTGATGAAGATCTGATTTACTTCAAGAGGACCTAGACAAACTCCATCAATGGGGCCAACATAATCAGATGGACTTCAACACTCAAAGTGTAAGATCATGAGAATCACTAGGAAACAAGTACCCTTTACTAACAGTGTGCATA